TTGACAGTGTTAAGGAGGTCTCCCCACTCTGCTTGGACCAGAACTTGGTATTCCCCAGCCATGCTCAGTACCCAGTATTTCTCTTCCACTCTCCAAAACAGCAGCAGCCATCTTCTGTTAAGCCTCGGTGTTTCACCCTGCACACACTCAGTAAAGCCCTCAGCTAAGGATTCAGGAGGGGCCCACCCATAACTCCTGAAGCTCCCCTTCTGTATCTCTCTCCACAGATTCTAGTCACCCCACTTGCCCAAACTCTGATTTCTGTATCTTTGATTCAGTCCAGCTTGGACTCCAGCTTGCTGTGCCACAATCAGAAAGCTGTCCCCTTGGGGTGCCTGGGTGGCTCAGTCGTTAAGCATCTTCCTTCAGCTCAGGTCATGATCCCGGGGTCCTGGGATTGAGCCCCGAATCAGGCTCCCAGGAGCCTGCTTCTCCCCTCCCTCTGCCCCTACCCCGCTCATGCTCTCTCTCGCACACTCGCTTTCTCTCTCTCTCCCAAATTAATAAATAAAAATCTTCAAAAAAAAAAAAAAAAGAAAGAAAACTGTCTTCTTACAGACAGCTGAGTTGATCATGGGACAATTTGTGATCCTTCTCTCAAGAATTGCTATCTTGCACTGTCTGTTGTCTACAGCCTGAAAACAGCTGCTTGATATAGCATGTCCAGTTATAGAGTTGTTTATGGTAGATGGCCTAGTTCAATAGCAGTTAATCTGTTCGAGCTGGAAGAGGAAACTCTGTAGACTTCTTGATAGCTTTTGAGTCTTAGGTGTGAGTTGTTCCCAAGACTGCACTTAAATACTGACTGACCTTGAATTCCACAAGGCACCACTTATATTGAAATCCTTAAAGTTCCCCTTCTGCTTAAGCTACCAGGATCTGCTGTTGTTACCTCAAAAAGCCAGAGAGATTGCCACTACTATATTTTTAAAACAAAACAGAGGGAAAGAAAGAGAGAATATAAACCATCACTGTAAGTGAAGGTGGGGTGTTTGTGGCTCTTGATTCCTATTTCTTTGGGTCTGTGGTATTGAAAAAGTCCATAATTCTTACTCTAACCCAGATGACAATCATCCATCCTGAAATCTTGAATCACATCCCTCATTCTATACTGGAAATTTTCTGGGGCATCTGGGTGGCTCAGTCAGTTAAGGGTCCGACTCTTGATTTCGGCTTAGGTCCTGGTCTTGGGGGTATGGGGTCAAGCCTGCACTGGGCCCCATGCTGGACATGGAGGCTGCTTGGGATTCTCTTTCTCCCTCGCCCTCTGCCCCTGTGTTCACTCTCTCTCTCCCCTCTCTCTAAATAAAATAAAAAGAAAAAAAAAAAGAAATTTTCTAGAGAAAGGGGTAGGAGACTAGAATTTGTGGGAGGCATTTTCTACTCTGGCTATCAAATATTTTTAACGAAAAGGAGAAAAATAATCCAAGGCCATATTTTTCTGCTTTGTTACACCCAATTCCAAAATCAGCAATCTGCTGATTCACTTTTATTGTTCTTCATCTAGGTTCCAGGTACTGCTCATGCTTGAGCATTTCATCTTTAGAATACCTAAAAGTAGTATTACATGTGTGCATGTGTGTAGATATATATCTATCTTACTGTGTCCAGATTCCACAGTGTTCTTTCCTGCATCTGTCAAATATTTTGTAGATGGCTATTCTCTTCTGAACACTTTTCTCAGACGTGTGTCATACCATGTCGCTCTAGTTGGCATGTATGCATAGCTTCTCCAACCCTTATCACCTAATACTGGTTATATACTATATAAATTTGGTTGATGAGGTATAGAGCTGGGTAAAAGTTGTGTTGTGTGAACAACAAACAATTTTTGTTGCATACACTTTTAAAAGTTACCTTGTTTTGAACCAGAGCCAGGCTTATTCCTGTTCCAAATGAAAACACCCAAAGTTTTGATATCTCCTGTCTCTTGCTTCTGTGGTGCTTTGGTCTTGGCCTTGAACTGGTCTTGAATTGTTCTTCTGCTTTCCACATGGCCTCTCACCTCAACAGCTATTCTAACTGAACAGCACTGAGAAATGATAAAACTCCGGAGCAGACACTAGCATGGAAAATAATTTTAACCAAAAGAAAAGACTAGCAGCAGTCCCATGTATAAAGTCCAGTAACTTTAATTTTTATTTTTGTTTTAATCTTGTCAACAAGGGTGAATTTTTAGCTGTTCATTTTGTATACAACAACACAGAATCAGTGACTGCATGAACACATTAGTCTCTACAAGGCTAAATCTACCCCTAGCACACATCAAAGGGACCTGAATGACACGCCATGCATCTTGAGTGACTGTGCACCGCCATATACTCTGAGCTCTACACCAAACTGACACTTTAACATTGTGTCAAATGTCTCTTAGAGACAAATATAGAATAGTAGGTATAAAAACCTCTGAAGAGTACCAAGAATAATGAGGTTTTGCCAAGGTTTTGTTGTATTTATTATGGATAGTTTTTAGGGACTAACTTACCAGAAAGCGTGATTGATTTGAGCAGTCATTTTGAACTTCAATTTAATTATTAAATACAATCTGAAGATTCCTAAAAGAAAACATTGTCTAATAAATTATGGATCCTGGAATCTTTTTATAAATCATCTCTTATAATTTTTAAAATATCAAGAAAATGCTGATGGAAAAACATTCACGATGGTGAAATTGGTTTAATAAAGCCTTATACAAAGTCACTGTTTCAAAATCCAGCAGGAAATTAGGTCAGAATTTTGGGGATATACCATTCATAAAAAACACTACTCAATTATGTGGTATTTTTCTCTTTTTCTCTTCAACTCTCCTTTCCTTCTTTCCTTCATTAATAATGGAGCTCCACCTCTGGTTTTAATCTTACCAAATCATAAATTGTTTTGACGTCATTTGAATTTTATATGTTCTCATGCTTAGAAACAGGGTGGCCGGGTGATAGACATCGGGGAGGGTATGTGCTATGGTGAGCACTGTGAATTGTGCGAGACTGTTGAATCACAGACCTGTACCTCTGAAACAAATAATACATTATATGTTAAAAAAAAAAAAGAAGAAGAAGAAGAAGAAGATAGCAGGAGGGGAAGAATGAAAGGGGGGAAATCGGAGGGGGAGATGAACCATGAGAGACTATGGACGCTGAGAAACAAACTGAGGGTTCTAGAGGGGAGAGGGGTGGAGAGATGGGTTAGCCTGGTGATGGGTATTAAAGAGGGCACGTACTGAATGGAGCACTGGGTGTTATACACAAACAATGAATCATGGAACACTATATCAAAAGATAATGATGTAATGTATGGTGATTAACATAACATAATAAAATTTAAAAAATAAATAAAAAACTAATGATGTGATGTATGGTGACTAACATAGCATAATAAAATAAAATAAAAAAGAAACAAAATGGCAACAGAACCCCCCACTTCTGATCACTCTGAGATATTCCCAATCTCTTATCATTCACTTTCTGTTCTTCGAATTCAATAGGATTCTAATGTAATTTGGCAGTAGCTAATATTACTTGGTAAAGAAGCAGTTGGCACAGACAGAAAGAGATGTCTAGGGAAGATGACCAGGCAGAGAACTTAGAAATAAGTGGTGGCCTCCGTGGTTAAAAATAAAAGTCTGGTATTTAGTTTTGCTTTGCCATACAGAAAATAGATGTTGCTATTTTGTTCAAAATATAAAACTTAAATTCCATGCCCAGACTCTGGAATGTTTAAAGTTACTATGGATACCAACTTTATGATTTAAAAAAAAATCTGGCATTTAGTCTTCTGTTCATATTTAAAACCAAGAAATTATTATATTACTGAGACATGTCAATTTTCTGTGTAATGAATTCACTAATTTATAGATTCAGGAACACTGCTGATAAATACTCTCAGGGGACGCCTGGGTGGCTCAGTCAGTTAAGTGTCTACCTTCAGCTCAGGTCGTAATCCCAGGGTCCTGGGATCGAGACCCACATCGGGCTCCCTGCACCATGGGGAGTCTGCTTCTCCCTTTCCCTCTTCTCCCCCTGCTTGCGCACTCTCTCTCTCTCTCTTTTAAATAAATAAATAAAATCTTAAACAAAACAAAACACTCTCAGTTCTGGGTTCTTTTTTGGGGCATAAGGTTGTTACACTATATAGCTTCTTGGGAACAAAAATTAAAATTGGCCATAGATGTTCTCATTATTCCCTATTCTCTTTTTTTGCAATTCTCTCTTTCCTCCAGGAAAGGATCCTGGAGGGAGAGACACCTTGACTTGGACCATACTACTACTGAGCTCTTGTCTAGCTGCTGTCCCACTTGGGCGGAGGACTCCTATGGGGACAGCCTTACCCCTGCCCTGGTCCCCAGAGGCTCCCTGTCTCACGTCCTCATTCAATCCTTGGGAAACTTAGGTGATCTAACATATCTGATGGAATTTGCTTGGATATGAGCAAGATATGCCTAACCTTTTGTCAGGCACTCTCTTGTGTGTAGGAAGGAATTACTGTATGTAATTCTGCCTTGTCCTCACAAATCCAAGGCCATCGGAGGAAATCATGAAAGTTGCTGAGTTTCATCCCATTCGGCCAATGCTGAGCATTATAATATCTGTGAAGCCTCCGTTAGGCTGTAAAACAAGGCAGAGATGATGCCTGAGTGGTCCCCACTAGATCTACTCAGACTCCCTCTGCTTGGCACATGGTAGGTGCTCAGGAAAAAAAAAAAAAAGGAAAGGAAAGAACAAAACATACAAGCAGATGTACTTACAGCAAAAATAAAGACTTTTCTAATTAAATCTGTTCATAAGGTAGATCAATCTGTTATAAATGCAATGATGCTTATATTTAAAAATACACCCTGTACATTTGGCATATAGAAATTATATACATGAACATGGTTCACATTGGAGTGTTTTGGAATTAACTTTTTCATTACTATTTTCCAGGCTTGTCAGTATAACCATTCTCTGGCCTTACTAAAGTTTTTTCTCTTTTGTTTTTGTTTTCTTTTTCCTGGCTCACCATAGGAATGCTGAGGCATTGCAAAATAGATTTTAACTGGACAGCCTGATTTGAAGTCGTGGAAGTGCTCTAAATCAAATCCATTTGCTTGAGTAACGAAAGGGTAAACTGGAGACCATGTTGTAGGTGTTAACGTTTCAATATGAACAAGTATTTCAGATAAATTAAAAAGGGCAAACACTGCTTTCTAATTTTTTTTAAAGTAATCTCTACACCCAACGTGAAGCTTGAACTCATGACCCCGAGATCAAGAGTTGCATGCTCCACTGATGGAGCCAGCCAGGTGCCCCTGCTTTCTAAAATAGAAGCAAAAGTTATTGGATTCTCTCCATTTTTTGTGTTTATTACTTTATTTTCTGAATATATACCTGAGATAAAAAGACAACCAAAATGATCAACAAATGAAGACTGGTTATAGTCTTGAAGCCTAAATGGGGGCAGTAGTCTTGCTTCACATCCCACGGTTCTAGTTTTTTTCTCAAATAGCAGGATTTAGATCTTTTCATTAGTACACTAAGCAATCATTGTTTGTTCTTACATGTACTAATACAGGCAGAAATTTAAAATTTGCACAAGTGACATTCTCTTGGGTTAAAGATGTCTAAAACATCATTTCTCCACGATTGGTTTTTTTTTTTAAATTATATGAGCAAATATGACCTTTTGTATTATATGGATTAGAAAACCTCCAAAAAGCAAGAACACTGAATCACCCTGTTGTTTGTAATTGTCTGTTTTAAATTGAATACTCACTGGTATTCATGTTGGCCTTTGAAAAATTATGTCTACTAAACCTCACTCTCTGTTGGAGCTGTGACTGCATTGATCTGGCTTCGGTTTTATCTGGGCACTCGAAAATGCAGGCATTTCACTTTGTCTTACTATTTAAAAAACTCTTAAACGGGGGTATTTCTGCCTGGAAGATGCAAAAATTTGAAGGATGCAGGGTAAAACCACTTCTAAGATTTGCAAAGTAAACAGAACCTAGAACAGTGAAGGTCGTTTAGGACAGCAATAAATAAGGCCACACATATCCATTTTCATTGGGAAAGAATGGAATAGGGACTGTAATGTTACTGAATTTACAAATAACTCTATGTTCATTTTCTTATTTCAATGTTATCTCCTTAGCTTCAGAAAAAACACAAATATCAGAAAGCATGATTCATAATGTAATAAAATATGCTTCCTTTTCTTAATTTAAAATATTTCATTTGATATGATTCTCTTTTAATTTTGTCTTTTGTATTTTCTCAAAAATTCTTTTCTTTACATTCTGACTTTGACCATACTGGAAATTAATTTTGCCTTTTTTTTAATTAAAAAATGTTCCAAACTATTTTTCTTAGATGTGATTCTGCCTATTCTAACAGTCCTATACAAGCTTTAGAATTCTGTCTTTATTAACACGTAAAAAAAAGCATTAGCCAATACTCTACGTAGGAAGCCTCTTGTTTGAATAGGTGAGATGTGGGAAAACTGCCTTCTACTGATCTGTGTGCAGGTGTCCGCAGTTGCTATGACCGAAGTCTGATTTTTGGAAAAACTACTTTTTTACATTTTTAAAGTCTGGGTACCCTACAGGTTTTCTTCCCCGATTCCTTGATTATTACTTCTGTCTTTGCTTCTGTGTGAACATGTTTTAAATTATGCATTGTCAGATTTATATAGAAACATGATATCATCTTTAACCTCTGAATTTCCTCATGACAAAAGGTGAAGAGAGAGTGTGGCAGATACACGGTCCCTCTCCCACAGAGACAGCGAGCAACCCAGGCACACTGTCCAGCCCCCAGTCCTCCCCCATCACAATCTGCCCCCAGAACCTCCATAGCAGTCTGCTTGTGCTCAAAGCCAAGGACTCAGGTCCTCGGAGATTTTGAGATTAATTTGGATTTGGCAAATGTCAGAGGGGATTTTGTGGTTAAATAATGCCAGATTATAGGACTTCTAGAATAAATGGAACCACATCTCTAAATATAAACTGCATCTTTGCTGCTTGCTTGTTGGCAGAGTTTTGAACTATGAAAATGCCTTTGTGATTCGTTAAAATGAATAGCTACTTCATGCTCTCTTCAAAGTCCTTAACTTGGATTTATTAAAGTGATTGTACAAATGATGGTGTGGTTATTACTAAACACATCAAAATGATCACAATCCACCCTTAGTTAAACAGTCTGCAGTTTAACAGTGGTAAAAAGAAAAAATAATGGACAAAGCATCGACATTAAGAATTAGCAAAAAAAATTTACATATTACCAAACATGTCTAGAAGCACATATCTAATTCAACTGTCACTTGCCCTCTGAAATCTGCCACCTAGCTTAAGCAGTTTTACTTTCAGTTTTTTACTATTTTGGATAATGTCCACAGGGTGGATGTATTCCTGGTAATTCTGATTAATGACTTTACCCTAACTTCACTGTGCACGGTGTTTTGGACTAAATTTGTTTCATCTGTTATTTCAGGATTCCCTAGAGCGTCCCAGGCCTGCCCAGGCCGAGAGTGACGAGTACAGAGTTATAGTCAAGCCCTACATTTTAGTCAAGAGATAACTCACCAAACTTAATCCTATACATAATATGTGAAAAGTGGGACAACATGGGATAGGGATTTTAGAACAAATGAGCTTTGGTTGATTTCAGATTATTTCATTGAATCTGGAAAGAATGACAGAGGACAAAGAGTAAATAAGTGTTAATAGTTCACATTTCCATTATTATACAATGGATACATAATTTTAAAAATCTAGTTAAAATTTTAAAATGAATTATAACCAAATGTCTTTTTCCTCCTTTTCTACTGTTTTAAATATATATTTCTAAACTTTCACATAGTGATGAGATGTAAAAATATTTATTTTGATTCAATCTGGAAAGCAAAGATGACTTCAAAAACACAACGGAAAGCTCTTGGAATGAATATGAGAAATCCCTAGCTATATGGCAATGCTCCTGCCTATTAACACAAAAGAGAGAAGTTTAGAGCTTCAGGTAGGACTGCTGGGCTTCTGTTATCAATGGGAAGCTGCTGATGGGTCTTGCTAAGTCATACTGTTTCTTCCCGCTTTCATTAACAAATCAGCCTCATATGTGAAAAGGACTAGTGTTTCAAAATTGCAAATTGTGCGGCTACCACTAAGAGTTGTAGTGAATGAGAAAATAGTACTATATCCATATACCAGAAATTCCCAACGTGGGTCCTGTGGAACACAAGCTCCTTGGAATGTTACTAGGTGTTACTCAAAATAAGTTTCTCTGGCCAAATTAATCTGGAAAACACTGAGCTAACTGAAATTACATTTGTGGTGTGTTTCTTCTCTTCTCCTCACCGCCCACCTATAGGACATTTAAATAAAACCTTCTATGTGCTTATATGCACTAACTTTTTAAGATAGTATCTTTCCCAAACTCATTTGACCATGGAACCCTATATTTGGAAGATCATCTTTGGAAATTGTGTTCTATGGAACACACTCTGGGGGAACACTGGATTCTATTACTCCTGCAGTGTTCAACTAAGTAGTTCCAAAGTCTAGATACCAATGATTTAACCTAGAGTTAATTAAATAGGCCCCAGTGTGTATCTAACAGTCATGTCATTTCTGCAGAGCTGGTTCAGGAATGCTGGTGTGACCGGCTAAGGCAATTTTAGGAGAATATTAAGGGAAGATCAGTCTAATGATGATGGGTCAAAGGAGAAAAAAATCATTTCTGAAATCATGGAAGAATAAAGCTTCATCCAGAGTGTGTATTCACATACTTTCAAATGTACAGTGAAATGTTGCCCTTTCTAAACCTTCTTCATTGACATGGTTGTAAGAGCATTAGATCTGGCAATAATTCAGGGGGAAAAAAATCCGGAAAATCAAGATATACTTGGCAAAGGAAAAGGTGATCACTCCTTTGCATATCCCTCATGTATTGCCGGATACCCAAGTGATCCAATTCAATAATGTCATCAGTTTCCCAGAATGACTTCAGATAGGATTGAAACGATGCCATCATCCTCACGCAATCCCGTTTGCACAGAATGTATGTGGGCTGAAATCATTACAGTTGCATGAAATAAGCCCTGTTTTAAATTACCCAGATTGCATATGCTCCTCACTCTAGAAAACACTCTCTGTAATACTCTTATTACATAGACAAGATTCAAGAGGCCAATACCTTCTATCTAAGGCAAGGAATAGAACGTAGCTGCTGGTTACCAGTAATGTGTACATATACGCACAGTCATGTTGTATTAGAATAGTGACTTCAGAGCTCAGGGCCTTGGGCAAGTTGGTCACATAAAATGAATGCAGGTCTTGGGAACTAGCTTTGTAGTTTTTAATGTAAGTATTATTTATTCCTTTAATTCGAGAATTGCAAATACAGTGAATTTTCAAAAAAATTTTCCCTATCTTATCCTATCCCCTCCCCCCAATCCCAACCCATGTTAAGAGTACAAATTGCTGGGGGGGACAACAGCAGAGCGGTGCATTCATGAGGGTCTGCGCTTGGCATCTTGCTGGGGGCTCGTAAGCATGTGGTCATTCATTCCCAACTTCATTTGTAAAAGAAATGAAAAACCATCCCCAAATTTGGCACTATGGGGCTATTGGCAATGCGAACTCGGGCTGGGGAGTCTGGGCAGCCTCATGTGATAATTCCAAAGCTTTGGCAGTGCTGTTTAGGGAAGCTTCACATGCAAACTTCTCAAAAAAATTTCCCTAAAGGCTAGATTCAACTTTTCCCTTGTTGTCCCTAGAAAATGAGCCACAGGGCACCCCTGGAGTGATGTCTGCAGACCCCTAACAGCTGGACGAGGGGCAGAGGGAGAGCTCCAGGATGGGGGAAGGAAGCAAAGTTCCCTGATTTTAGACATAACTCTTAATCAAACTGCTACTATTTTGCCTAAAACATCTGTCTTTAAAAAATCTACAAGCCAAAGTGGGAGGAAAAGAGGCAGAAAGAAAGGGAATAGGAAATACACACACTACATGGTTAAATTCAGAAATGAATTAATTCTACAAACTAGAAGACACCCGGTAACCTCAGCTGGAGGGGAAGGCCAACACACCTGCCCTCGGCACCACCCAGGAAGACCCTGCTCAGGGTAAACAAACACTAACTTCCTGTAGCTTTGCTTTTTCATCTTCACCAAAACATGTCTATTTTCATCTTACTAATAATGATCATGGAATTAAAAGATCTCTTTCCCTTGTCAATATAAATTTTAGGGTTAAGTTAAAAATAAAAAAGGAAATTGGACTGGGTAGCATAAAATGCTGAAATTGCTTATTCTTGACCTTCAGTTAGATGGTGGGCTTTGGTAACTCGCCAGAGTCAGGATGTCCTAGATCTCCAAGCAAGGCCACCTGGCTTGCCCATCCCATCACTGAGCACAACCAGCCTGTCTCCCATCTTCCTCTCCCCTGACCCCGTCCCCAAATACACACATCCAATTGTTCATTGTCTCTCAATAGGCAAATATTTCAATCTAAAATGGTGACAGGTATTTTGTACTAGAACTTCCTGTAGCTAAAAAAAAAAATAACCAGGGTTCTAATTCTAATGCTGGAAATTCTAATGTTACAGTTTACAAAAGTGAGCAAATCGCTTGGGAAACCATTATTAATTCTCATTGCAGTCAAAGGACGGTAAGTGCTTGGAGGAATCGAGTCAGGCTGCAGCCCTTGGCAGCCACAAGGGAAGCTTCATCCTCCCAAGTTCTCCCCTGGAACCTGCTTCGGGAAAGCTCCACAGTTGAAGAAGGGCAGGGGAAGGAGGGGCACTGTGGGCTGGAGGTGGCCAGTGAACTGGACCTTTGAGAAGCTCTAAAGACAAGTGTCCACTTGAGAAGGACAAAACCAGGTGGACACCTCAACATTTCAGACACAGAAGGGTGGGGACACAACAAAAATCTTGTCTGGTTGTTTGAGCCACCTCAGCCAGGCAAACGGGCTGACCCAGCACTCGGTCAATTAATTTATAAAACACTGAGTTTGGAAACATGACTCTGGTGACAGGGCACGAAGAGCAGCAAGCCTGGCCCCGAAATAACTCTGAGCCACTTAACAATACAGGTTTGAGCTTGAATTCCCAGCCAGTGAGCATGGTTGCCGCGGAACGCAGGGTGGCGGGGGGGCGGGCTGTGCTTGCCTGGGGAAAGCTACCTGGTGTGGACAGTGATCTGCAACCGAATGTTATAGGCAGCTGCCTCTCCACTGTCAAGGGGAAGCACGCGCCAGCATTTTATCACCAAATGCCCAGCTCCGCTGGGCACTGTGTCCTCGGCTTCAAGGAACACACACGCAGTTCAAGGCTGTGCCGATCAGAACACCGCTTGAAAGACACTTGAAGGCTACTGGGACAGGAGAGAGAGAAGAAAAAAACCCACACAAAAACGGCCGCTGGAGCTCAGTTCAGAGTGGTGACCTCCCCAGCTTTCTCTCCTAACGCAAACAGCAGATTTCCCAGGGGACACTGTGACTTATTTGGCCGCTATTTCCCTCCATCTACCCTTAAAGAGTGAAGAAATTATGGTATTGTGATTTGCTTTATCCATTTCCCCTAATAGGTTTCTTGGTAAGACAAAAAATCGTGGTGTCTGGTGGTGGTTTCACAGCTGCCTATTACATAAGGTAAGGTAGAAGCAAAAGGTTAAGGTCATGCACGATTAGGATAAATGCACGGAGACGGGTCAGGTGGCACAGAGTCTATTTAAGTAAGAAAGGAAGCCAGGGGAAAAGGTTATGTGTGCTGTGTGGGCGGTCTCATCCTCCCCCCTTCCCCCCGTCTCCAAAAGCGGCCACGGAATAATAAACCATTTCACATCTGTGTCTGGGCTGCTGCTGAGCAGAAAAGCTGGGCTCAGGAGGACAAAGCCCCCTCAGGATAGCTCTGCCTCTCAGCAGCGGGCATCGGCCCGTCCGCCCAGACTCACAGGGGCCGCGGCAGCCCGTCCCCTGCAGCTCCGGAGGCCTGCTCTGTGCACCACTCCAAGGACAGGACAGAGTCTGATGCCTGGAGAATCCTGGAAGAGGTCTTGAAAAGAATCCCAAAGGGGAGAATATATGGCACATGTGCCGTTCACGTCATACTTGTGAATCTACAGCTATATATTTATATATTTTGAACATCGGAGGAAAGAATTGGGAACACATGAAGAAACCATTTTCCAGCCTCTCAGCTATGTGGGCCAAGAGCACCCTCTATTCATTACTGCATATAGACCTATGCCCACCAGGGAGGGGAATCCCACGTCTAGGTGGCTGATCCTAACTGTAACTCCCACGCTTTCACTACATTAGAAGAGACCAGTGTGTTGAGAGTCCTTTAGGCGAGGGCAGCCGAGACCCAGAAGGGTTCACTGCTCTTCCGTTTTGCTGCTATTCCTGAACTTCACCACCATGACCGTTATATTGTCAGGGCAGCCTCTGTAAAATGACTGTAAAACTATGCTCTTAGCCCCAAAGTGAGGTTCATCCAAGCGCTCCTTGATGAATCGAACGGCTTCTTCGTTGCTGAAAGCATCCCAGAGGCCATCTGATGCCAAGATCATGAACTCGGGCTGGAGCTTGTCCAGGTCAAAGGTCAGGATATCTGGGTCTGGGATGACCACATTGAGATTTTTCAGCGGATAATCCCCCAGGGACCGAGACATGGCCAGGATTCCCTGGACCCTCCAGGAGCCATTGAAACTGATAAAACCACCTGCAAAGACAGAATGAGCCCATTAGCTTGAGCAGTTGGTATCTCACACACACGGGAGAATCTGGGTGCACGTACACAAGGCTCATCTCCTGCATGTGCCCCCTCACCTCCCCTGGGCACTGCCAGGAAGGAATAGCCTTCCCGCCGCATGGCTTGAGGTTTCACACTCTACCAGGAGATCCTCATCTTAAAGGCTCTGAGGAATATATCAGTAAAAATAGTGAGGGTAGGCAGATGCATGTAGATGAGGGCATTGGTTTTAACTTAACAACACCTTGACGGCTCCTTGATTGATAGTAGGGAGCCCTAGGGTAGGGATTCGAGGACAATGGCCAAAGAGCGCTGAAAGGCATGAGGATGGGAACCAGAGACACCACTGGGCTACTTCATTTAGCTTTAGGCTGCCCCTGGGTGCATCTAGATCTCAAAACAGCTCCCCAAATAGGATCGGGATTAAAGAAGGGTGTATTTTAGCACAGTAGAGAAAGGTTCAGGCTCTTGGGTCGGACTGCGTAGATTTGATTCTTGGCTCTGTCACTTCAGTTGAGAAGCTCTAGCTTTCTGATTCTAGGTTGCCCTGGCTACAAAATGGGGACAATAATAGTACCTATTCCACTGAGTTGTGAGAAATAAAGGAGTTACTCCATATAAATCACTTAGCATAGTGCCTGTGTATCACATGCACTCCATGCACTCAATATTGTCTATTATTATTTTTTCTTTAAGGGAGCGAGGACTTTGTTCATTCACATATTATTTGTCAGATATCTATTAAATGTATACTCCATGCAAGGCATTTTGCAGGCTATAAACTTATACAAGATCCAGACCTTTCTCTAAAGAAGCAGATAGTCTAGCAGAAAGGAAAAGCTACATGTATTAACAACTATGAGCACAAAGCAGTATTCTTTCGAGAAGAAACTAGTACCTGCTAAATGCTATAGTCAGATGAAGGAGGAGCAATGATACCTGGTTGTGATGATCAGGGAGAGTGAGCAATAAAGCGAGGCTTTGAATGATGGGTAGGACCTCTACGTATGAGAACATTCCAGGAAGTGTGGTCTAGTAGGCAAGAGCATGGGCTCCAGAGTCAGTGTCCTGGGTTTCGATTCTCGTCCCACTATTCACTAGCTGTGTGTCCTTGGGCACACATGCCTCTTTGAGGGTCTACTTCCTCGGTTGTAAAATGAGGATAACATTATCAAGCTCATAAGGTTAGTAAAGAGAAATCATATGTAAAGAACTAGGCTTGGCTCCCAGCACAGAGTGAGCAAACAATAAATGGCAGCTGATGTTGCTGTTCTTGGAAACAATAAAAGGAGTGAAGACAGAAGGACCAACTCGTATTTGGCCCAGACTGGTTGTAGTGTATTGTTATGCTAAGTAGGACAGGGAAAGGTGTCCTGAAAGGAAGGCTGAGGTCAGAGAAAATACACGTAAAGGTAATAAAATCAATCACTGTCCCTTAAGCCTTGCTATAAAATACCCCTTGACACAGGTTAGATTAACCTCCTTGGAGACAGTGTCCAAACTGGCCTCTATAAAGCATCCCTGGAGGGTGCGGGTGCAGGTGGGGGGTATGGCAGGGACGAGGAGAGAGGATACAATGGGAATGCCATTGCAGAAGGGCACGCAGGATGCTAAGATGACATTTCCAGGTATCGTACACACATCCTTGCGTGGAGTAGGCTAACTGAATCTTAAGTCCAGGGTCACAGCAGACTCATGGGGAAATGGTGTCTTTGTAAGTAAGGAAGCCAGAGTATTTGCTCAGACTGCTTGCAGCTCATCAGAGCTTGATAGATACTCCTAAAATATAGTTTGTTCCATCCCACAACAAAAAGCCTGACTAAAGCTCTCATTAAAAATTATTCTGCATCTCAAGCAGTTACTGAAGCAGGAGGTTGTAATACATTTCAACAGTTTTTGACTCAAAAGTACAGTTTCCTACTGTGAAAACTCAAATGTTGATTAGGTTCTGGGCAGAGGCTGACCTGTAGAGAGAGAAAGTCAACTGCATTTACCCCAGGCAGCAGGGGCCCATTCTGGTTAGAACCCAGGGTACGTGAGCTCCCCTTGGACAGCTGGGCCTGCCGCCTGGCATATTGTGCAGAGCCAACATGCTGCAGTTGTCAGTCTGGAGAGGGAGGGAGTCCTCCTTTCCATGGGTAGAAAAGAATCCCCCAAAGTGAATCATGAAAATGTAATCATCAACTGATAATCTTCCTTCAAGTCTTTGTCCTAATATCACCTTAGTGAGGCCTGTAGTGACGACCCCCGATACTCCCCATTCCCTTGCCTGCTTTATGTCTCTTCATAATAGTTATCACTTTATAATATACTAGATAATTTACTTATTTTTACTTATTTATTGTTAACATTCCCCATCCCATCCCAATTCCAGAATGTAAGTTTGTATCCCCAGTCTCTAGATGTTGGAAAAAAAAAATGAAAAGAGCCCGCCCCCCAACCCCAGAATATTTAATTGTGCCAGGCACTGAGCTAGATGCTGGGAGTATAGAGAGGAACAAGACCGAATTCCTGCCCTCAAAGAGCTCACAATCAGGAAGGCAGAACAGATAAGAGAGCCAGGTATGTCCATATTGTGAAAGGTAACCCAATAGGTTACCCAAATAGGATATTGGGAAAATGAAGGGGCACCTAACCTAGACTGGGGGAGCCTTTGGTGCAGTGACAGGGAAGGCTTACCAAAAGGATACCCTTAAACTGGGTCTTAAAGGACAAGTAATTGTTATCCACTGGCTGGTGGGGCTGGCACTTGCCAAGGTACAGAGCTAGCAGAAACATGGCTCACTTGGGGAACGGTTAGTTTGGTGTGGCTGGAGGGAAGCAGGGTAAGGCAAGCAGGAGCCCAAAGATCTCCTTAGCCTTTAAACTAGGAAAGGGCTTTTTGGGGGGCTCTTTTGGAATCTTTGGCCACGAGGAGGGCAAGTTCGGTGGCCATTTATTTGCCAAGAAATGTCACAAAGTCAAGTCTCAGCTACCTCAGCAGCAGCCTCTCTGCTGATCTACTAGTCACAGGGTAACTGAATATCTTATCCCCCACAGGCAGTCCAAGCAAGCCACCCTGTTCACCGGACAGGATGGCAGACAGTACTTGGAGGTGTTCACAAGCTCACCAGCTCTCTTTATCCTCTTTCTCTCCTTCAGTTGGTAAGGCTTGTGATCATGAGACAGAGGAATGGCGTTCCCGTCCTTGTCGCACAGGACCCCTCTCGAGTCACCCACATTGGCCACCGTGAGGTCCTTATCTGATAGTAGAGCAATCAGACACGTTGTACCTGGGAAACGGAGGAGAGAGGCATTGTAAGAGGTCAGCGGTGCGTTGAGATTCAGCTATTTCTTGTTGTTACTGGATTCTTCGGTCATTAAAACTGCTCCTGCTGGGTGAGAATTTAACTCCAGACACTCCTGAGAATGATGGCTGTTCACTTCAACAACACTGATCAAATCTGACAGGCAGTTTTCTTAACCATGTTAGAATGTTACTGAAATAGGCTAGGATAACATTATCATTTTCCCAAATCATTTTTGTTTCTGCTCCTCTTAATTTAAACACATATCACATTTAAAAGGATTAGGAGAGAATCAAAATCAGTCTGAAGCTTCTGGCAGTTGATATATTATTTTTGCTTCTCATTGATGCCTCATTTCTGTGGAGCCCCAGTTGAAAGTGGGGAGGAGGGGGGTCTTGTGAGCTCCTCGGCTGGAGGGTCTGGAAGAGGCAGTAAATGACAGATACCAACAGCCTGATCCTATGGCGCCATGAAGGAGATGCCTATACAAAGTCTGATGCAAAGACGGGCAGCCAGAAACAGGTCAGCTCCAGGGTGTGATGGGGGCAGACTATAAAGCAGAAGCAGAAAAACCTACAGTGAAGACAGAAATGAGATCTAGGTAGATGGGAGGTGGGGGTTGGGGTGGTCAGAGCCAGAAGGGGAGCCAGACGGACGACCTGCTTGCCTGGAACCTATAAAAGACACAAAAGGACAAGCTCTTCTCAAACCCCTCTTGAAATGAGAATGGATAAAAGCAAATAGAGATGGACAGTGTGGTCCCCCTGGAGCCTGGCCTTATTTCCTGCCTGGTGTCCTCTGTCCGACTGTTTCCTCTGTCCTGCCTCCCTCCTGACAGTGTCACTGAATATGCAAATGCCTGCTGAAATGTACGACCCATTAAGCTGTTGCTTGAAACTGTTAACGCCTTTGCTTGTGAAAATTATCCATCAGTGTCTTCATTAATATTTCCCTCCTCATTTAGAAGGTCCTATTCTATAACAGAATGTAAACTGCACCTAAACAGCTCTTTAGCCTTCACAGAACAATAAACAAGACTGAATTCTTAAGTGGACACAAAGAATAAATACAGGTCAATATCAGGAGCAGGGAGAATAATTAGAATATTTAGCATATTCAGGTATTATAGTTCAGTTTGAAATTCCATTCTTAAGCCATTTAACTCAAAACTGCCTTGGTCGGCAATGGAAATACATGAAATATTGGTCAACTCAGGATTTCTGATATGAAAAGCTTTGTGAAAGAAAAAAAAAGTCTAATCTTAGGGATTCCAAGCAAATTGCAAATCTTTTACCTTTAAAAAACACTGTAAAAATGAAAACGTAAACACAAAAACCATTCATACCATTAGAGATTGTTATTCTCAGTTTTTGCTTAGTTGCCTTTTAGTTTTCAAACATTCTCACTTTGTCCTCAAGCATCTGATTAGGTTAACTTGTCTAACACAATCAGAGACTATAAGGCACATTCGTAAAGTCTGAAGGTGAAATAGAAACTTTATTGGATATTGCATGGCTTGGGGGCAGTGCGTTCATAGACCTCTTCGAGTTGTCTCTTTAGCCCTCTTCACCTCTTTCCTTCTCACTCTGCACACTCTGAGAGACCACGTTCCTGACCCTGGGCTCCACTACCATCCAAGCCTGTGCTGCTAGCCTGGTTGACACTCCTAAGGTCCGTGTCAACTGGCGTGGAGGTGTTTCGATTTTCCTGTACTGCCGGGGATCCAGGGAAGGGCTCTGCGGCGTCCCTTTGAGAAGACCAGAGGGATCCACCTGGCTCTGGGCCCTTTCCCCACCCCATTTCAGCACAGCAGGTCTACACCCATCTGTTAGCTGTACTGAGCTGCCACGTAAGTCTTTTTTTTTTAATAAAAGAGGGGAGAAGTCATTCCTACAGCTAGAAAAAAAATTGCAATGTAATCGCGTATGTGATTAAGAATCACGGAAGGGTTTTAAGCAGGATAGTGTCATGGTGAGATATGTGTTCTAAAAGATCGTTCCAGTGGCAATATGGAAGATAAAGTGGAACCAGGGAGAAAGATAGAGATAATGAGGATCTGAATTAATGTAGTAAACATAGAGATAGAGGGTAGGAGACCGATTATTTAAAGCCTAAATGGAGAGGTCACAGAGAGTGAAGGAAATAAAGGAGAGGGGAACAAGTCTCAGGTAATGTCCTACCTTCTAGACGGTGGGTGGGGGGAGACCTGGGTGTTTCATAGACAAGGACTTAAGGGGGATGTCTGCTTGGGGCTTCTGGGAAAGGCTTTCTCTCTCACTAAAGGAGACACAATGAAGAAAATGACCCACTTCTTTGGTCCAGTGTTGGCTCACCTGTTTCCCAGAACTGTGGCAGCCATCTTGAAATATGAGGCAATATGCCTCCGGGTCAAGGCACTCTGCTACAGGTAGAGCAGAGAGGTAAAGAGCCTGAGTCCCTAAGATATCACGGAATGGCTGAACCAGCCTGAAAGGGGCTTGTTCTGTGAGACAGTAAATATCTTTACTGCTCATGGCTTTTTAAGCTGGATTTTTCTGCTCCTTGTAGCATCCTAACTGGTTCAGGGGCTTATAGTCCAATAAGGGGGTCTTTGGGTGGATTTAGAGTGTCTGCTTTGCTTTACTCACATGTGGTTGCATATACCTAAGATTCCTGGTCTGCCAATTCCTTTGTCAAGGACACAATTCCATTGTTTCGTGGGTAAAAACGATCTATCTCATGACATGTATTTCAGAAATTTATTGCTTTGAGACAGCTGGGACTGCCTTTGTTAACAATAGAATCTTAGACCTGGCCAAAACGGGTGAGCCCCAGATGGTGGATTAGAGCTGCAGGCAGTTTTTAGGATCACTGAAATGTCACCTTTCCCTCTCTATAGAAACCTGCCTATATCCTGGGTGGCGGCCCAAGCATAATCTTCAAAAACTGCTTCACTGTAGGCAATTTATCGTTTGTGCCTTGCAGTTGTAGTTTGGGGTTGCAAGAGAGAGTCTATAATGTAATCTTACTTTACAGAACAAACTACCTTGTTGCTGAAAGACTCCAGAAAAACATCATGTCCAAGAGAAAATGGACAAAATCACCTTTTCTTTTGCTTGCATGAGAAAAAAACACCCCCCCAAATTTTGGCCACAAGTTTTGATATAAAAAATTTATTCCATAATTGTACTATTTGTCACATGCCAGGGTCTGACAATATTACTTAATACCTCAGGATGTTTCTATATCAACAATTTAGTCTAGAAGAGAATGTAATTGCAAATCTGGAAGATATCTTGGAAATTTAACCTATTAACCTCACTTCACAGATTAAAAAAATGAAAAAAAGCAAATTCACACAGACTAGACTTCAATGTCCTAATCGAGTGAGGTCTAGCAAGTTATTTAACTTTCAAGCCGCAGAAAATGGCACCCAATCCAGTTACTCAAGCTAGGAGTCATCCTTGTTTTTCTTCTTTTCTTTTCCTCATTCCTAACATTCAGTCCTGCATTAAGTTCTGCCACTCTTACCTTTAAGGTACATCTTAAACCCCTCCAGCTTTCTTGTTCTCATTGCGTTGACTCTAGTACAAGCCACTGTCCTTTCTAAGTGGTACTATTTCAGCGTCAGGTGAAAATGATGGTGGCCAGGTCCTGCATGGTCTGGCCCCCACCCAAACTGTCCAATGTCATATCATACTACTCTTTCCCTTGCTTTCCCTCCCTTCTGCTGCCCAAACATGCCAATCCTTTCGTTGTCTTCTGTTCCCTCTGCCTAGTATATTTCCCTGTCTTTGACACCGGCTGATTAATGCATATGGGATGTCTTAGTACAAGTGTGACATCATCAGACGGGTCTTCTCTGATGGGGTAGATCTTCTCTTTACTCCCCTCACTGCCCTCACAATGCACAACTGTGTAAATATCTTTATATTTATTTAAACAATTTAATTAATGCCAATCTTCCCCTGTACAATATAAACTTCACAAGGGTAAAGGCATTGCTTGTTTTCCCTACTACAGTGCTGATGCCTAGAACATGGCAGGTGCTCAATATCTGCTGAATAAACAAAGTAACGGATGAATGAATAAATAATCACACACTGTCTCTTTGATCCCGATCTGACATAATGCTAAGCTCCTTCTGACTTGCTCCGAACATGTCCACTTAGGTCAATAATGCGATGCACACCATCTTCCAGATATTGCCACAGCAGGGAGACGCTCAACTGTAGCAAAATACATTTTACACGTTGATCAAAACATGAGGACCGTCCTGTACAGGTATAACCCGCTCACAGGCACACTGCCCCTAACTAGAGAGAGCCTCCTGCCCAGGCCTGTCCCGAGTTCTTCCCTCCAGCCAGCTGAGGCTTCTGGTCCAACGCAAATGAAACATGGGCAGGGCTTCTTTCCTCACCACACCCTCCAAGGCCGTGGCACCTTGTGAAGTGATGAAAGTGCCCCATGGCTGTCATTACAGGCACATTCTGTGTCTGCTTCTGACCTCAGTTTGTACTTGAGCGAATCTCGCACAGTTTCACGTTGTCCTGTTAATTCTTGTTTTCTTTAGGGAAAACCCACAAATGCAAATTAGTCATTAGTCTATTCCTCTAAACCAGCATTCTCCCCTCTGATGTAATCTCTGGGAGACAGACAAAGTAAAGGCACACAAGAAAATCTCTTCTAGACTTATCTAAATATTCTGGTTGGATGATATTAGGCACTTCATTCACTTGGTGAGTTGAGCTTGAGAAAAATGCAAATCTTTTTTTTTTTTCTTTTAAGTGGACTCCACATCCAGCATGGATCTCACGACCCTGAGATTAAGACCTGAGCTGAGATCAAGAGCTGGATGCTTAGCCAAATGAGCCACCGGGGTGCCCTGAGAAAAATGTAAATCCTAATGGAGGTTAAGTAACTTGGGTTAGTTGGCGCATCTTTGGAAACCCTAGTTATCAGTATTTTTTTTTTTTTTTTAGTTATCAGTATTTTTAAAACTTAGT